TCTCCTGTTCTGACTACTGGCTCATCCCTGACTATTGACCCGTTTACTCTTTGCCTGCTGCTCTGTACTGATCTGCCTCCACCGTTACCGACCCGGCTTGTCTGACCACGCTAACTACTCTGCCATCCATCCATCCTGCACGGATCCAGCCGTACCTGCACATACCTCTGGCGGATCCCCCTACCACTAGCAGGTGTACTCAGGGGCCGCGACCTGGTCTCAGTCCTGCGCCAAGTCCATCCCCACCATCAGGGGCTCTGGTGAAAAGGCAGACTGGGGCTTAGACTCCGCGCCCTGGGGAATCCTGCCCTGAGGACCGCTAGAGGTACCACCAAACGGTCATTACAGAACCCTACGGCCGGCCTGACCGTTCCACCTCTCCAGCCCTGACTACGCCTGTTTCCTGCACCTCCTAAAGATTAGTGGAAGGTTGGTTTGCTCACTGTGCGTTTATATAGATATATATCTGGGTGGCTAATAATAAACTGTATTATATTACCTGCGTTTCCCTGTGTCAGTCCACACCTTTCTGGTCACTCCTTGATTCCTGACAGGGACACAGAATCGTTACGCAGGGACACAGAATCGTTACTCAGGGACACAGAATCGTTACTCAGGGACACAGAATTGTTACTCAGGGACACAGAATTGTTACTCAGGGACACAGAATTGTTACTCAGGGACACAGAATTGTTACTCAGGGACACAGAATTCGTTACTCAGGACACAGAATCGTTACTCAGGGACACAGAATCGTTACTCAGGGACACACAGAATCGTTACTCAGGGACACAGAATCGTTACTCAGGGACACAGAATTGTTACTGAGGGACACAGAATCGTTACTCAGGGACACAGAATCGTTACTGAGGGACACAGAATCGTTACTGAGGGACACAGAATCGTTACTGAGGGACACAGAATCGTTACTCAGGGACACAGAATCGTTACTCAGGGACACAGAATCGTTACTCAAGAATCGTTACTCAGGGACAGAAATCGTTACTCAGGGACAAAGAATCGTTACTGAGGGACACAGAATCGTTACTGAGGGACACAGAATCGTTACTGAGGGACACAGAATCGTTACTGAGGGACACACAAATCGTTACTGAGGGACACAGAATCGTTACTGAGGACACAGAATCGTTACTGAGGGACACAGAATCTGAGGGACACAGAATCGTTACTGAGGGACACAGAATCGTTACTGAGGGACACAGAATCGTTACTGTGAGGGACAACAGAATCGTTACTGAGGGACACAGAATCGTTACTGAGGGACACAGAATCGTTACTGAGGGACACAGAATCGTTACGAGGGACACAGAATCGTTACTCACAGAATCGTTACTCAGAGGACACAGAATCGTTGAATTAAAAAGAAGTAAGTCAGACAACAAGCGCAGAGGAGTGGCAGAGGAGGCAATGTTTCAGGAGCGAGCAGAACGTGGCAGCAGAGGAAGGGGATCGAGCAGCACTAGTCGCAGCCAGAGGCCAGTGCTCCCGGTGTCATCCAGCGGTCGTGTCTCCTACCGACAACCCCTGCCGTCATCGATTGGTTGGCTCGGTCGTCTTCCTCTTCCGCGAGTCACCTCTGACACCTACAGCCAACGGTCGGTGGGGGTACGTCAGACACAACCGTTAGTTGGCCGTATGCCCGGGAGCAAGCCCACTGAAATCACGTGTGTCCTCTACCTGCCCCTGTCCTCTTGGTGTTCCCTCACCAAGCACGAAGTATCGCATGCTGTGGGCTCAGCCCCACTGTACAGTGAGGAAGAGCTAACAGAGGGCGTATCCAGGAACGGGGGGAGGACATCCGCCTCTCAGACAGCCAGGCGAAGAAGTACTAGACTCGCTAGAGGAGAGTGGCTCGGTAGCCGGTCTAGAGACAGGTCCTGTCTCCTGACCCACACAACGCAAGTCCGAGGGGGCTAGTATGAGGCGGAGACCCTAATTATGATGATGATGAGGCTGATCGCACTTGGCAGCCTCGTCGCATCACTCAGGCTATTGCTTCCGCATCATCAGGAGAAGAGGGTGCCAGCTTAGCAGTGAGCAAAACAGTTTGGTGGGTTCGCCCAGGAGTTGCAGCAGGGTCGCAGCAGTGTCAGTGGAGAGCCAAACGTCCTACGGAGTAGAGCACCAGCTCCACTGCAGCCTACCACCACGGCCAGTAATGGTGCCGGTGTGCACGGAGGAAAGTAGCAGTCAGCCAGTGAGGATAGTAGCGGGGCAAAGTTTCCTACTCGGCGGTGTGGCAATCTTTTTTCGTCAAATGCCGCCCGAGGGAAGCCAGTAAAACGTAGCCGTATGTCACGACTACTTATGTGGCCAGGAAAGTCAAGCGTGGCCAGGGGAGATCCCATGTTGGGACTACAGCGTCGTGCGTCCAGCATAACTGTCAGCGTCGCCATTCCGGTGGCCTGGGAAAACCAGTGATAAAGATACGGCGGTTTCTGCCAGCCCCCGCTTACACTGCCATCACCCGCTCCGTTACTTGCTCCGTCACCCGACGTCAATCGCCCTCTATCAGCCAGGTCAAGGCTCCAATACCTCTGATGCTGAGGGGAGTTGTCGCTCCTTGGCATCTTCCGCTCATTCAGATGCTCCTTCTCCTGCTACTCCTCCTTCAACTCACGGATTCCGTCAGTCAGCAGTCTTTCCTTGGAATCCGTTTCCAAGAGGACAAACAGTTTGCGAGCACGCAACCCGACGTGTGCAGAAGCTGAACGTCCTCCTGTCTCCAAGTTGCTGGTGCTGCAGTCCCTCCCTTTCCAAGTGGTGGACTCGGCACCTTTCCGAGAAAATGATGGCTTGTGCCGAGCCGCGGTGTAGAGTGCCAAGCCGGCATTTCTTCGCACAAAAAGGCAGTGCCAGCCCTGCATTCAACATGTAGAAGAGATGGTGGGCCAGTCTTTGAGCATGTCGGTCTCTGCCAAAGTGCACAAGGCAGCGCCGACGTGTGGAGCTGTAACTACAGTCCAGGGACAGTACATGTCAATTTACGGACCCACTGGGCCGTGAACGTGCTGCGGTGACACATCGCCTGCACCACAATTTGGACAGTCACGCCGCTTTGCCTCCACGTTTGCACGTCCTTGTCCAGCAAAGATGTCCGCCTCTACCACCTAAAATGACTCTTCTTCCGCCGTGTCCTCAGCCCGCCACCACCCCCGTTGCCAAGTCCCATACCCGACCGGCATATCAACATGTGCAGGGCAGCAACGGTGTCACAAGCTGTGCTGCAACCTAGTATGCCTTGGCGACACGTAGTCACACAGGGGAGGAACTTCTGAGTGATAATGAAAAGAGAAATCGAACAGATACAACACAGCGAAAGGCCATCACCGATTTTCCTGAATGTTACAATCGGATAAAGGTACTTTCCCCTTGTGTAACTTAGATGTCAGCATTGGCAGCTCATGCGTGACACCTGTCCGCTTGCTCAGGGCCCTTTGAGAGGCCAAACGCTATATTCGTGAGTCGAGGTCAGGACTAATGGGATGAACGACGTCATTCCTCTGTTGCACGTCCCTGGAACAAATGCTGTTAACAATGGCTGGTCAGGGTGCGGTAGACGTGGCGCACAGATCTCAACGCCACATGACCCCTGTGTGGGCAGGACAGGAAGAAGAGGAGGAGGTAAGAGGAGAGACATTGTGCTCAAGGAATTATTGAGTGAAATGGTGGTTTTTCTTCCACTCAGCGGACAGGAAGTGGAGGAGGCAGGGAGCATCTGTGGAGGAGGAGGAAAAGACAGAGGACCCATACGCACCGTGGCAGTATGCTGTGGAGATGAGGCAGGGAGTCCCCCTCCGCATTAGTCCCTTGGCACAAATGGCCCAAAGCATGCTCGGATTTGCTTTCGTAGCGACAGCCGAATAATAACCATCAGACAGAGGGATGACTTTAGGCTGTCCACCTTGTTGGAAAACCCTGCGCTACGTTCAAAAATGGGTGCCTTTTTCACACCTGCTGAGAGGGAGGCCAAAATAACGTACTAGTATAAAACCACCTATGTAAGTCAGTTGGTCTTGACTCTGCCTTTCTTGCGCCAACGTCCATCCTCAGACACTGTGGGGCGACGCTGTCGGCGTGGCCGTAGTGCGCTCAGCGTTCCGCTGCCATGGCAGCAGGGGAGGGGTGGGTTGGTAGAGCAGTGGCAAGCTCCACAGCAGCGGCTTGCCTCATGCGATCCTCGCAGTCGATGATGAGTATCTTTCTTCACCAGCGCCAGTGAGGAAACTAACTAACCACCGCAGCAGCAGCACATCAGGTTGGACCTGGAGCAGGACCCTCAAACAACAGGCTTGGGCGCCTACTTGGACAGCACCCTGCCAACCGAGGTAGACAATCCCCTTGACTACTGGGCAACGAAACTTGACCTTTGGCCCCAACTAGCTGAATTTGCCCTTGAAAGGCTGTCATGCCCGTGCCATGTAGCGTGGCATCGGAGCTCGTGTTTAGTGCGGCAGGAGGTATTGTAACTCCGCGGAGGACACGCACTGTCCGCACCCAAAGTGTGGAGATTTCTTACACTCACGATTTGTGAAAATGAATCAGGCGTGGATTAGTCTGGATTTCAAACCACCAGTTCCTGACACAACTGACTAATCCGCCATGAATCATGCCCCAAAAGCATGTTATTATATTTTTAACATAGGCCACTGTATGGCCCTTCAATTTAAGCTGCTATACGCTCCCACTCTGCCATGGGCCCCTGTACCGGCCATCGCTCTTAGCTGCTCCGCCAGGTCCATAGTGTTGTACATGATGGGTCCCTGTACGGACGGGCCTCCCATTGCTGCTGTTTTCTCCATCAGCCACATCTCTGCCATGTGCCACTTTTCAGGTCACCTCACACTGCTGTTGGGTTCCATTATGTCATAGGGTGCTGGCAGATTACGGCCCTCCCATTTGCTGGCTGCCAGGCCCGTAATTCTGCCATGGGCCCCCGTTCCGACTCCACATGCGCTGCCAAGGCCCCGTAATCTGTCATGGGTCCCCTGTACCGCCTCCTCGATCTTGCTGCTGCCAGGTCCAAGAAGTGTGTCCATGGGTCCCTGTACGGCCTCCTCCCATTGCTGCTGTCTCATCGCCACAACTGCTGCCATGTGCCACTTTCAGGTCTCCTCACACACTGCTGGTGGGTTCCATTTATGTCATTGGGGTGCTGGCAGATTACGGCCTCCCCATTGCTGCTGCCAGGCCCGTAAATCATCCATGGGCCCCCCGTAACCGACTCCTCCTGCTGGCTGCCAGGCCCCGTAAATCTGCCATGGCCCCCGTACCGACTCCCTCATTGCTGCTCGCCATCCAGAGTGTGATCATGGTTCCCTGTACGGCCTCCCATTGCTGCTGTCTCCATCGCCACTCTGCTGCCATGTGCCACTTTCAGCGTCTCCTCACACTGCTGGTGGGTTCCATTTTCGGGGTCCAAAGGGTGCTGTAATGGCCTCCCATTGCTGCTGCCCAGGCCCGTATATCTGCCATGGGGCTCCCCCGTACCGAACTGTCCCTCATGCTGCTGCCTGGCCGTAATCTGTCCATCGGCCCCTGTACCCCCGCCATCCCTCATGCTTGCTGCCAGGACCCAGAGTGTGTCATGGGTCCATGGTTACGGCCCACCCTATCTGCAGCTGTCTCCATCTCCCACACTCTGCCATGTGCCACTTTCAGGTCTCCTCACACTGGCTGGTGGTTCCATTTTGTCATAGGGTGGCTGTTATGGCCTCCCATTGCTTGCTGCCAGGCCCGTAATCTGCCATGGGCCCCCGTACCAACCGACTTCACATGCTGCTGCCAGGCCCGTAATCTGTCATGGGCCCCTGTACCGCCTCCTCATGCTGCTGCCAGGTCCAGAGTGTGTCATGGGTCCCTGTACGGCCTCCCATTGCTGCTGTCTCCATCGCCACACTCTGCCATGTGCCACTTTATCAGGTCTCCTCACACTGCTGATGGGTTCCATTTTTTCATAGGGAGCTGTATGGCCTCCCATTGCTGCTGCCTCCACCGCCACACTGTGTGGCTCCACACTCTGGTTTTGGCCCCGTGACTGCCAAAATGAGTGAAGTGTGCGGTGATATTCTAAGAATCGACGGCACTCATCTGCATGTCATACTGACTGACAGTATTATTTCTCTTCCCCAGCAGACTCCAAGGGCATTTAAATTAAAGGTACAGTGTTCTGCACTAATATTAAAGGCTCTCTGGAAGCCTAGAAACACCCTTTTTATAAGTTAAATTAATCGCAGCGAATATATTCGACTCGAATCGAATTTATTCCACGAATTCGCCGAAATCGAATTTTTGAATAATTCGCTCATTTCTAATCATCATGTATGACAATGTGGCTTTTGTATATTTCTCTATATTTGCAAAAAATGTTATCTGAGACCATTGCTCTATAGGTAGGTTTGGTGTTGTTGGAGGAATTCTGTATTTTTTTGTTCTTGGTAATTTGCTCTCTCATTGTACAACTCCCTTGTTAACCGTGTGCTAGTGGTAGCCATCTGCAAGTTGTCTTTATGTTTGGGGAACATATTGCTTTCCTCTACTGAGGAATATCTTCAGATATCTTGGTCTGACCACATGTCTCTCTTTAGGTTGCTCCCCATTTCTGACTTGTGCATTTTTTTTTTTTAACCTAGGTCACAGTGGGAAGCCCATGGTGAATATGTAGCATCAAATACTGATGAATGCTCAGCCACTTTAATGTATTCAATCAACCTGAAACAGGAAGGAACCCTCAACCTTTGAATATTTTATATCCAGACATGAGTATTGCATTTGAGTTCTTTTGTGAGTATGCACCCCGTGCAAAAGCAAGCGCGCACAATATAGTAATTTCAATGTAATCTGCTTGAAAATTCTGTACTATCAAAGGGGCCTCTTGGATAATCACTAGTCGTTTATGCAAAAAAAGTGAATGGGCTGACCCTATGCGACATCAGAATCACGTGGCGGGAATGCTCATTCCCATTACGCAATATTTGCAAAATGCTGAAGTGTCCTTTTTGAAAGTTTTGAATCACACCTACAAATTAAAAGTGAAAGACGCTTGAAGTACATTTTTTTTTTTCGGTTTTAAAGTGCCATTCTAATCTTGTCAAATTCCAATTTTAAACCTCCGATTATGAGCATTAAATATTGGAAAAGTTAGAAGTGGTGAACTATAGAATGAAAATGATAAATAAATCGCTCAGACATAAAACTTACTGTGAAATGAAGAAAAAATGACAAAAATAAGATGCATTGCCTGCTTTAACCTTCAAAAGTCAGTCCCAATGTTATTGTTCAATTTAACATTACTTGGCCAAGGTGAATTAGCTTGGATTAGGTGGCAAAAAAAAAATCCATTACTGTCTTGGAAATTCGCTTTTAACGAATTTCTCCTTACCGTGAGTACTCGCAGTTGGATGCGCAGCAATCCCCCATAAAGCTGTGCAAACCTTGCTTACCACGACTGCAGCTAAACTCCACAATTCCTGCGCCTCCAACTGGTCTAGCTCTGTTGAGATGTGGGGAAAATGGAGCTCAGTTATCTAGGAATGATCACACGACACTCTCAGGTTGCTGTTGGAATTCACATAGAGACCGATTCCATCCTCAGCCTCCGGTTTTATTACAAACACACACACGCCCCCCACATGAGTCAGGTCAATCCCCTCCCACAGAACAATGCATGGGGAGTGTCTATACACAGAATGTACATCCTGATTGGAGCATAGCCTTTCCTTTCATCTATACTGGAAACCAGTTCTCCCCTCCCCCTTTCCCATGGTGAGCTCTCTGAGGAGAGTAAACTTCCCCCTATCCTATCAGCTCCTAGTAGTATGTCCATTCTCTGTACAAGCATCCCCTAGATTAAACAGTGTCAGTCTGTATCTGAATGGGCCCGATACGATCTTTATTAAAACACATCCATCCAGATACAGTTCAGGTCGGTAATGGCTTGTAAGATATACATGAGCCTACACACGGAGTTCACACTGCCTGGCGCCTGGCGATACGAAGTCCATGTGGTACTATGCTGCTGATATGTGGATACAGGCCTGCGGCCTACCGCCGGCGGCATTCGCATTCGAATGCCGTGGTGGTATACACGCCGGTCTATAAGCGCAGATCTGCCGTCTCATCCATTACCGAGCTGAGTACTGTAATACATACATTGTACATGCGCATGGCCCAATTGCAGCCTTCAGAGCTTTAATTAAGCCACAAGAGAGACATATGATAACACTAATATATGACACATTTAAAGTTCAACCTGTAAATACAAACTTTCCATGACAATTCCCTCCCCCCCATTCCCCATGTTTAATGTCTTTTGGATTACAAGCTGCAGTAGGTTAGGTTCAGCAATCTTAAATTCTGAAACTTCTAATTTCCTCCCCTGCCTGACTGTTTTTGGCCTATCCCTACCCTATCACAGCAGCTTAATATCACGTGAAGATTTTACCCATGAAGGTCTTCATGGAAACATAGTACACCTAGGAATGCTCATTCCTCCAGACTGACACCTATGTCCTAGCCATTCACATGAGCTGCTGCAGTCATTGAGTGGCAGCCGCAAGGAGAGGTCTAATATATGTTCATTTGGGCTCTTTAGTTATAGGTTTTTTTTTTTTTTTTCCCTGCCGTTTTTAACCATAAGATATCTGCTGTGCCAACATTTAGAAAATATGTTGCGAGTTCAACATTTTAACTACAGCACTGGTTCAATTACAGCAATAGCACTCTCTGTGCTGATACTTCAGTAATGACCAGGGAGGTCTCCACTGCCCTGTCAACACTTACCACCTATGTAGCCTCCCACAAGAAATTTGCAATTTGTATAACTCTTTTTAGGAACCAGCACATTGTTTGCATCAGGGCTGAGGACTTTTTAGAGGTGGTTCTGAGGCAGGATGCTATGACATGTTTTTCAGATAAAGGTACTATGCAGCACTCTTCTGATTCCCCAACCCCCTCCCCCATTAGTCACACTTTGCCTGGATTAGACGCACAGAGACCCAGTGATGATGTCCCTGGTTCTCAAATAGGGTATTTGTTGAAAATGGCGAGATTTTCAAAAATATTATATTTTATTATAATTCTGACAAGGGGGTTGTGGTGGATGGTGAGAGAAACCAGAGAATGGAAAATAATATGCAGATTAACTTTTTCTACATGCGACATCAAATTAAATAAAATGCTTGCATTCTTATATTTATAAACACCTCCTAGTTTAATTTAAAAAAAAATGTCAGGATGTTTCTTCAGGCCTTAAAGAGGGTCAAGAACTACACCCCTTGGTTCTTCTCACTTTAAAGAAGGTGGTCCTAGAAAATAATGTCTCTGATTTGTCTTCACCAATCTGTGTCTTCTGCTATAGTTTTAACACGATGGGCTTTTTTTCAGCTAGAACGTAGCGGGAACATAGTTCACAGCACAGTGACTGTTTATAATGCAAGGGTGCTGGGGTGTGCTAGAAGGTCCATTGATGTGGCTGCTGGAAGGTCTATTTTGCTGGGGTAATATATTGTTAAAAGAGCGGTCTTTGATTGCTGGGGGGGAGGTATTGTTGAGAGAGGGGTCACTTGTTGCTGGGAGAGATCTTCTGTTGAGAGAGGGGTCTATTGTTGCTGGCCCCCCTGCCCTGGAGGGAAAAAAAAAAAAAAAAAAAAAACTATTTAATGCTGGCTGCTGGAGTATCTATTATTTCTGTGGTGGATCTATTGTTGGTGGGGGGTATTTGTTGCAGTGGGGCTATTGTTGCTGTGGGGATCTCTTGTTGCTAGAGGGATCTGTTGTTGCAGGTGGGTCTGTGTTGTTGCTGGGGGAATCTGTCGTTGCTGGGGAGGACTATTACTGCTGGTTGCAGCAGAATCTGGTTTTTCCTGCTTTTCTTGTTATTAACATATTCTCAATATCAAATTATTTTGCCACCACAAAATGATACTTGTTCTGTTTTCCTATTAAAAATGGGGTGGATACTGGGAGGTCAGTACAGGTGGATCCAAGTAACAGTACTTGGAGCGTGGGTAGATGGGGGATACAAGAGGTGGACACAGAAGGCGAGTGTACTTGCACCTATTTAAATGCAGGATGGTAAAAGCTCTGGTTTGAGTATGCAACAGTATTTGTATATACTCCTGTGATAGAAGATAGTGTTCATACTACCACTGTGATTCAACGAGGAAGTGATGTTAGTGATTTATGGCTTACTTCACACTAAGCAAAAGCACACTTGATCTGCGACAAAACCACATGTTTTTGCAGCGTTGTTTACTGCCTTTGCGGTGCATTATTTACAGGGAAATATGACTCAAAAACGCAACCAAAATCGCAACTTGTGCTTTGCACTGCATTGTTTTGTCATGTTTTCCATGTCTTTCATGATTGGTGAGCTTATTGATGCTTTTTTTTTTTTTTTTTTGTTTAAACCGCACAAAACCAAACCTGCACCAAATATGCAGCAAGCAGATTTTTAAAAAATACATCGGGCCAAGCCAACGGATCAGTGTAAAGAGTTCCATAGAATTACATGTGCCGCACACATTCTGCATTGTTTTTTTACCTCAAAAGCAGCGAAAAACAAAATCAGTGTGAAAGGCTAGTATTATAAGGGAAAATGGACTGTAAAAATTGCCAGAGAAAAGGTGCATCTAAGAGTGTGCTGACATTGCATTTTACCAAAATAGCATAGCAATGACAAAACATAGAACCTGCATTTCCAAGCTCAATGTAGTGTTCATCTGTACAGCAGATGAACACATTCATGTGATATGGTAAAAGAAAAATAAAAGCTTAAATATTCTTACATGTCCAAATCTAATCTAGGGCAGTAAGTATTACAAGTCAAATGTCAAAACTCAAACTACCAAAACTCCACAGTACCATTTTGTATATGTGCATTTTACAAGACACATTACATTTACTCAGGACAATTACAATTCTATCCAGTAATAGTTTATATAGTTACTTTTTTTGTGTTTTTAGGTTCATAAAGATCAATGTCAGCCCTGAGAAGAGGACTCCAGTGTGGATGAGACCACTGATAATCGGACTGGAATGTTCACCTAGTAAATTCACTAATATGTGTTTGCTTCTTATAGATTAATATTAAACTACACTGAATTGAAATCAATCTCGTTCAAGTATTTTGAATGATCTTACTTGTGTCGATCAAGTTATCAAGTCTTGCATCCATCAGAGAC